GGCTCGCGGAGAGCGGAGCCAAGGTCGAATGCGTGGGTTGAGACGGCGATGACCTCCGAAGAGCTTGCTAGGATGAGGGCCAGAGGTTGTCACAAGGCCGGGGCTTGGCAACGGCGGCCGGGGGTTGGAACTTGGGCTCCAGAGTACACTACTTGTAGAGCGAAGAGGTGGTTTCGTTGGCTCATGGATATGGCGTCTGTTAGGATGGTGGAGAGAGTTGAGGGGTGGGCACGGCACGAGAAAAGTCGGACGTCGGGTCCAACTTCCAGGGCCCATACTGCGTAGACGACGGGCCATGGCCGGTGAGGTAGTGCTGCTTCTCTGCATGGTGTAGCAAGCAGCTTTGGGCTGGTATCCGCAGTGTGAACATGGTCAGGTCAGGTTAGGCCCATGGCGGTGATGCTCGCTCGGTGTGTACAGTATAAGGTAGGTAGGGTATCCGTTGGTAAGTGTGGGAACTCTTGAGTGCGAGCCTGCCTGCGAGGGACGGGCCCAGGAGTCGGGTAGAGATGGATGGACAAACTGTCCGTGAGGTAACCGTATGTGTGTAGCAGATTACTACCTAGTGTATCGGTTCATGCCAACTTTCAGGGAAGAGGCAGATGAAGGAAGCATTAGGGCCATTGTTGCTCGCTTCTTCCTGCCCTGTCCCAGACGAGGGTACGGTTGGTCTTGCTGCAGTTCAAGGGTTGTTGTTGCTGTATCGGGATCCGTACATACCTAGGTAAGGTGAGGTAGGTAGGTAGGTATTGTTGGAGACTTGCAGTCGAGTGACCAGTTGCTGCGGTGGACAGTGGAGGTCAAAAAAGAACTGAAGGGCGCTAGATTAACAAGGCAAAGCGCAGATTTCGTTTGACACCAACCCGAGGTAGGCAAGGGCCGCAAGGCCTGTGGTGAGACTCGATGTACTATGCAGTAGACTGTAGAGGTAGGTGCTAGGTGGGTGCACACAACACTCACCTGTTCCTGCCCCCGGCTCCATTACCGACCGGCTACTACTGGCTAGTGTTTCCCGATCAGGCAACCTGGGTATTTCTAAATATAGCCAGATGCAAGGCAACCATCTGACCGGGGGTATCGGGGGAAAGGCCAATCATCTGGCACCTGCCATCCGCTTCCTGCCTTTTTTTTTTTTTTTTTTTTTTTCCCAATCTTTCTTGGTCCTCATCCTCTTCCCTTCCTCGCTTCTAAGAATGCAAGCATGGAAGATTCCTTCCTCAAGACCCCTCTCCTTGACCACCAGCGGTACCACAAAAAAGTCTGTGAGGTTTCCACAGCTTTAATTCAAAGAAGAGCGATGGAAATAAAATAAAATAAAAAGGTAGCCACCGGGGCAAGATGGGCTCGGCAAATCGGCTCCTTGCGCTGGGGAACGGCGGAACTAACCTTGTTCAGTCATAGAAGGTACCTTGCAGTGTCTGACCCATCGCTTCCACTGCCCTTGCCTTTCATCAGTATCAGTATCCGTAAAAGTACCTCGAAAAGTACTCCGTTCTCCGTACCTTCCATGAGGTGGCTTGTACCTTCTGTCTGGAGTTCGATCTGGCCGCGCTTACGGAGTACCTTAGCATTGTTTACCGTATGTATGGAAGGAGGAAGCAACAGCAGAAGCGGGAGTGCCTTCCACCTTCCTAATTCCTCACTACCTCGGTACTTGCTATGGAGTTCAGCTACTTTGGTTTGGAAGGCGAGAGGGAACAATTGAACCTTTTGGTACAGCGTGCTAGCCGAGATACGTTACCTTGAAATTCCCCTCACAAAGTCGGGAAGCCACGCCGCGCGACGGGTAATGCCAAGACTTCGGCGCAACGATCAATCGAGACAATACAGCTGTGTCTTCCCCCGATGGCTTAGGTAGCTGCTAGCGTCCACCGGCAACAGGAGCCCTCCACTGGTTCCTCGGTCCTCCAAAGTCCAAGACTCAAAAGTGCTTGTCGATTTAAGAAACTTCAGCCCAGAGGAAAGAGCAAAGACGTCATCATGGGGCCATGTTCCAAGCAATTCTTACCTAACCTACTCTGAACGTGGTTTGGCCCTCTCACCACTCGACGTTCTCTTTCTGTCTAATGCGTAGGGGTAGGGACTCTCCCTTCACCATCCTGGATGCCTCGGGTCATGAACTTTTGCATTTCTCGGCTTCACTTTACTCTAATCGAGCCCACGCTAGCGGCTGGATCGATGACATGAGACGACAACCTCTCGCTTCACTTCACTTCTCCAGGGAAATCACAAATGTTGAGGCGGTAAAATCCACAAGACCGCACCAAAGTGGCCCGTCTGGAGACTGACACCGCGCAGACGGACATGATCCTGTCAACATGCACATCATCCGCCTTCAAGACAAGGTCTGCTGTCGGTTAGGCTCATTGTTTCGCTGTATCCCCGCGGATACAGACTACAGACATATGGATACATAGTAGAGTACTACTTTGTCTTCGTACTGTACCTCCCGTCACTGACAGTCGAGACAGTATTCCCAGCTCTGTCGACAGCCAGCCAACCACGTCTGGCCATGAATCCATCATAATCACCAAGCTTCTTCGCCCACACCCTTCCCACCTTGCTAAACCCCATCTGGTATGAGAGTCGGCCATTCATGGTGCTGCTACGCCCCCCCAGTCTTTGGCCTCCCTTCGACGTTCCTTTCTGCTCCGCTAAGCGGTGGAACTCCGACGCTTCCCCTGCCGATTGTGCCCGGTGTGCCGCTCGAGGCATGGTGGGGAAGGACGGCCCTGCGCATTTTCCAGAAGCCCAGTAGAAATGCCAACAATTTTACAGCAATTAACGATAATAAACGAGAATGACCGCTGCCGCCCACGAACGGTGAACCCACGACGGAGACGGGCGGATCAGTATGAGCGAATTACCCATATCCATATGATATGATACCCCTCGCCTCGCCGCCGATGAAGAGTACGTACCATCTGTCCGTACGCTTTCGTCTACAGAGTACGGACGGAGACCGGATACACCATGGTCTTGGAAGTTGGGCTTGCAAATTCTCCAAGAGTCCAACCCCCCATCGAATCGACGTCCCACGCTCTGATCAGTCATCATTACCCTCGACTCCAAGCCCCCTCCCCTGGTGGACAGCAACGGCCCCCTTGGAGACCTAGGACCCGGCCGGCAAGGAGAAGCATTGGCAAAGGAAAATCTGCTAGTCACTCGGCCGACGATATGCCATAGATTGACATCTGGCAGCATAGCTGCCCGTTTGAACCCCCGAGCCTAGGGCTGTTATGCTCACCCAGCCGCCCATGCCCTGTCCCCGGCTCGGACTCGCAGCGGATAAACTACCTTCATCAGCAAAAGTCCATGGCAGAGTCGCATCTTCTCCGCACCGAAGAGTTCTCGACGCGGAGCAAAGCTTGGAGACCCTGGCCAAGCCCATTGTCGAATGAAGGCCCAGGATAATTGAGGTCATGCGCCATATCAACAAATCACCGCCATCCACTCTGCTGATTGGCATCGCTTGCATGCGTCCAACTCTTGAGTCTCTGCATCTCTGCATCGCTGCATCTCTCTAGGTACCTCTGGCTCTGCGTCTGTGGCTGATCAGTGTGCGTCCACCGACCAACCCACTGATCGGACGGCAACTGCACTCTGCAGTGTGGTACTAGCTCGACATTTTGCCCTTTTCACCGCCTCCTATCCATCGAAAACATGGTTGGCCTGCCTCGCTTGGCTTGCAGCGTCTTCTGCTACCAGCACGCATCCTGATTCCCCTGTGTGGCTTCTGCCAAGGTAGCGCTTGACAAACATGGCGGATCGGGATGGGAGGAAAGCTAGCCCCGAGACTCCGCTAGTTCCGTGGCGACTTCGCAGCTGGACTGGCTATCCACAGATATTGAGGGAGGCTCACGGTCTCACCGGGCTGCCGGGCTTGTGGATTTTCAGAAGCTACAGAAATACAGCGGGCAGCAGTGTGTGGGAGGACGGGATTACAAAAACACCACTTTCTGTGGGCGCCGTGGCACGAACAGTGTGTTGGGGAGGCAGATCTCTTTCCCTAGCCTCGAGGCTTCCGGGACACCCCATGCGTCGACTCACCGCGCTCGGCCGTCGCGGCTCGCACAACGTCCAACTCACATATGCGGGTCGGTGATGCGCACAGGGTTTCCCTTTGCCCTGTCGGTCAAAGAGCCAATGGTAGCTGGCGGCCGCAATGTTTCCACCATCATACTGCGATCAGCCCGCGCTGTGCCCGCGCGCTGTCTGAAATTTCCCACCATCTCGACGTGACGGCGGCAGTGGGGGCATGTCAAGTCCGCCATCTGCAGGGCCGATTCCGAACCCAACATGGCTCATTGGAGGACTCTCTAGTTGAGACCTTGACACGTCTCGAGCGCGGGATCGTCTTTGCGCCCAAATCAAGCACGGCGGCGGATGTCGATCACCAACAAGTCTACCGGAGACGGAGCGAACGGCGTGCCCTAAATCGCTGCCTGTCGGCGACTTAACGAGTGAGGTGCCGCCTGTCCCAATGCTATGCATCATCGGCAGACAGCTAGCGTACTATGGAACGTTGCGTCTCTCAGCCCCATCCGACGCATCATACGCATGACATTGCTGATGTTGCCGAATATGGAAAAGACAGAGGAGAGAAAAAATAATTATGTGGCTCCAGATCAGCAAATGCCGTCTCCCAGAGGACCCTGAGAGCTGAAATGCCCCGGTACCCGAGAAGTCTCTCCAATGCACTCGAAAGCCAAAGCACGCGGTGTGAATTTGGCCGAAATCTCGCAGACAACGTGAAAGAAGGTTATTTAAGAATAGAAACCCGCCTTGCCGAATACGGCAAGCACCAGATGCCCTCAACCATGCTTCTGCATGGATATTGGGAGGAGGACACCATATCAGAGCCTCAGGCTACTGGTCACTCTTCGCCAGCCAATCGACTGAGACACACAGTAACTTCGGTCGGAGATGGGGAGGGGGAAAAAATGTGCCATGATGAGGTGCTTTTGTTGCCAGAGGCTCGCTGACGCTCACATCACCGTATGGACCGGATTACGCAGACGGGCCGAGAAGTGTATGTTGATGTCAAGATGATGCAGGTTTCTTTCGACTCTCCTGCACCGCCGACCTCTGAGGCTTTGTACGCTTCTTGTTCCTGCATCTCCTGCATCGTAACTTCGGACGGTCGGTAGGTCACGTCCGGCGGCCGCTCTCCGACCTGCCTTCAACGACTGGAAGCTGGCAAGCTGCCTTCCATTTACCTCGGTTCCTTGGACCCTAAGAGAGAGCGCCCACATCTCCAAGATTCCAACATCCCGCCCAGCAAGGCCAAACCCACTCGTGATGTCTCTTCGGAAGATTATCTCGCTGCTGCTTCACACCGCTGCTGGCCAACAAATGACTGACTCCATATCAATGTTTGGTGTGCTGGTCCTGGTGTGTTCTGTGTCATGAAAGGACATCCCTGACAGTCTGACAGGGTTGACAGGAGAGCCATACGGGGCGGTCAGGCACAAAGAAGCGGACCTCACACGGGCCCGGCCAGAGACGGGCGACCCTTGACACGCGCGCGCACCCATCGGCCTGTGTGGAAGCTGACTTGCTGGACGGCGTTGAGAACAGCCACCGCCACGACATACGCAGTAAGCGTCACGTCCCCGAGAGCCGGCACAGACAGGTTGACGGTATGTTGCTGGTTGCGCTAAGCGGTGACACCAGGTGCCTCGTGGTTTGTGATGGCTATCTGAGATCTCGTTGACAATTCGGGAAAGTTGCTTATGACGAGCCCCCCGTTCATGTTTCTCATTCCAGGGCTGGAAAAGCAGAGCATGGGTCAGATACCCTAGCAGCGCACGCCAAAAATGGACACGAGAAACTGCTGTTTCAGCCAACCAGAACCAGAAAGACGCCCTGCAACTCCGATCTCCTGGCCCCTTGCAGATTGGCAGAGGCATGTTCAAACAACGACAAGAGACAAGAGCAAGAGATGGAAGCCCTGGGTAGAAGCGACCCGCGCTCAACCCCAGCGCGGCGGAGCAGACATTTGAGGGGGGGGGGGGGGGGCATTCTGAGAAGGCTTCGGAGGAAATGCGACGAGACCACGGGAGACAGAGATCCCCCAAGGAGATTCATTCTACTTGAGACGGCGCTCCAAAGCATCACGTCTTGTTCTTGCTGGGGAAGGGGGATCGAATTAACGTTTTTTTGTCTTTGAATTAGTCTTCTCCACCGACCTCTCACTCTGACTCGCTGCTACTCGATGCACCCGCCTACACTACGGATACCAAGCAAAAAGGCAAGCTACGCTAGCGAACCCACCGAGGTGAAGCTGGACGCCGAAGTAGAGCGGGGAAACGATCGTGGCACTTTTTTTTTTTCTCTTCCCTTCTCGGACCTTCATCTCTAAAACTCTTTCACGCTCATCTCCAAGCCCTTGGCCACAGTGCTCCGGGCGGAGATGCCCAGCAGATGTGACATAATAGCAACGACCTCAAACCTTAGTCCCAAGATCTGCCCGATTCGCCTTCATGATTTGACATTCGGTTGGCTCCGGCAGTCGTCTGAAGTGTATCGGGACACAGCCGAGGGGCACATTGTCAGCCTCCGGAGACGAGAATGGGATCATGGACTGTTTCTCAGACTCGGCAGGGACTTTGGCTACAGACAGGGGATAACCTCAAGGGATCGATGGACACGCGAGTCGGAGAAATAACACAAGGCAGAACACAGGCCCCCAAACGTCGCACCGAGACGGTTGGACGCTGTGTCGTTGCTTCACCAGAGAAGCACAAACCACCAAGCACTTTTGATGGTTTGTTTTGGCAGCGGCAGCAGCAGATCCATACCATAGTGGACAGTGGGTATAGTTGGTGTTTGCCCATCAACCCCCTGCCACGGCATCGACCCAGGTCCTGGTAGGGGAACTTGTGTGAGTGCTGTGGTTCGAAAGCTCGGACTCGACGGCACAGGCTTGAAACCATGTCTTGAATGACCGTCAGGTTTCTCTGGCTGATGTTACCTGGTAGGTCCTAGGCCGTATCTGGCGTCGCGGAGAGTTGTAGCTTAGCCTAGGAGAGCTTTCAACTCGCCTGATAGTCCTTGGCTGTTCTCTTCAGGACAGTGTCCACCAGCCGGGCGCCTTCATTTTCGTCGCCGCCGCATCGCGCTGGCGCTTCTTTCGGCATAGCATACCACGGGGCAAGGTCCGCATGGGTGACGGGGAGCCCAAGGGGGAAGTATGCACGGATGCCCATGATCCATGACCGCATAACGTTCGTCAGTCGTTCTAGTGGGCTAGAGATGGGAACAGGGTCCTTCCTCTTCCGGTCGGAATGGGAAACGATGCAAGGACACTCTTCCTCGATAGACCAGGACCGGGGCGGGGCTCTAGCTGAGAGTTCGAGCTCCTTATCCTTCAAGGTTGTGGCATGACGGGAGTCGAACTCTCTTGCTTTTTGGACAGTTCTCGCCGCGGCAATGTCAGCTTCCAGAGATGTCGAGACGATGGTGGCAGAGACGCACTCGTCATCTGACTTGGGACGATTGCGTGTGCAACTTCAGAACGCAGAGGCTCTTGCCCTCAAGGACTCGATCAACCACGCAACAGCGAGGCGAGAAAAGCTGTACGAAATTTGGTATGCAGAGTCGCAGACACAGGCGCGCCGCAAGCAATACCTACCTATACCCATGCCCGCGGAGGCTATTTGTTGGACCCAGTGCTAGGGCCGCCCGATTGGGGTCATAGGGCAGGCGGTAGGTACTCCATACAAGTTACAACAAATGGGCAATGGGTGTCGTTGGGAATGGAGAGAGAGCCACTCGCTGTGGACGTACACACGGAGAGAACCGCTTCCACTGCTGGCACAGGCCAAGGTGACGGGACCTTTGTGTAGGGTTCTGGCGACGGACGGTACTGCATGTCACCACACCCGGAGCCATAGAAAGGCAAGCAAGTTGAGTCCACATGACGATGTTGGCCGCCTAGTCGGGTTCTGACCGAATACATCATGAAGAGCACCCTCTCAGGCTCTCAGCCCCGGAGAAGACTAGTCGGATGCATACCATGCAAGTCCAAATGGCGAATGCCGAGGGCAATGGATTGTTACTCTGGGCGGTGCTCAACTCAACTTGTCCACGGTCGCCGCCTGCTATTCTCATGCTATAGGCCCCGCAACTCAATTGTCGACGCTATTACCTAAGTCACCTGATTCTGCCAACTGGGTGACGGTGGTCTGCCGAGCCAGGAGATGACTTTGATCACAGCTTGACAGAGAGGCCCAGTATAGAGTGGCCTGCAAAGAGTGAAGACGTTTCCAGCCGCGAGCCCCAACCATGAGGGCTTTTGGCGGCCATGGGGATGTTGTCCTGGATCGCGGAGTCTGTCTACCCCTTGATTCATCTCTTTTCGTCTTCCTCTCCAAGTCCATAGTTGGGATGGATGAAAAAAGCAGCGAATACTGCTTGCCGCCCGAGCTCCGGTCTGGCGGGCCCCTTTTGGCTTTTGCCCGAGCATTCACATTGCCTAGATTTCCTGCTGAACGGTATCACGAAGAATCAAGGGCGCAGAGCTAAGCTCGCATGAAGCTGAGCCAAGTGGTTGTCTGGGACTGGACGGTGAGCGGTGCTCTCTGTCATCGGCTGAGTGGGCGCGTTGCACGAGCATGTTTGCATGAGCATGAGCGCAAAAGAGGGCGAGAGACCGAAAGATGGGATGAGATGGGATGGATTGAGTTGAGTTGAGTTGGGCTGGGGACGTCGTCCATGACTGGTTCGGCAGCGTCGCAAAGAGTCACCGGCACAGACGCTGGCACAGACAGGCAACGATACAGTACTCGCTGACTGGCGATTGCTTCGCCTCCATCGTGTTGACTAGCTCCCTGGCGACACCTCGCCCGCAGCGTGTCATTGGACTGGATCGGGACAAGATTAGCCCCTGCCCCTATTCTCTGACCTTTGACCTCTAAGACTCATACAGCTTCCCGGCCGGTGGTAGTGAGGTCCAGTCAAGCGAGCATCGAAAATAGAGAGGCTATACGGAGCGATAATGGAACAGCATGGCATGGCATCAGCGGCGCGACGCAGTGATGCGATGATGGGCCGGTAGCAGGGGGCAGCAAAGGTAACGAAGCCATTCCCGAAGGAGACAAGCAGCGAAAGCAGCCGCGAGAGTGAGACCAGCGGCAGAATCGCCCACAACAGCAACAGCGACGGCGCCAGAGAGGCGAAGGTAACAGAGGCAACGGGGCCCTGTGCCAGCGCGCCCGAGGAGAAACCAGCCACACATTCAGCGGACGGCTAACTGGGAAGGGCATGGCAGAGGAACGCGCTAGAAAGTCTCCAGATGGAACATGGAGATGGTGCGGCTTGTCAACTAGTGCTGGAGAGCATGTTTCCGTCGGCGAACTTTGGGACGTGAAAGCAAAAAGCGAAGCAAAGCAGAAGCAGCAGCTTGAGGCGCAGCAAACCCAAGGGCCGTCTCCCAGTGGTCGGTTCGATATGGAGGGGGAGTGTGTGTTGCTTGGAGAGAGAGGTGCGAAAGGAGGTGGGAATTCGGCATGGACACGATGCGAGCGTGTTGCGAAACCATGATTCCCACAGTTGTTCAGCCCCATTGCGGACTAGAATCATCAGCACGCAGCGTGGGGAGGAGAGAAAGTCTCGAGAGGGTGAGGTGAGAGGCCAAAGTCAGTCAGTCAGTCACTCGCTCACCAACACACACATTTCCTCTCTGTCTCTCTCGCAGTTTCTCTTACCTTTACCCCCCTCACTCTCAGTTTCTCTCTCTCTCTCGCTCACTTACTCACCCACCCCTCGGCTTGGTCGGTCAATCATCTGTCTTCTCTTGGATGGACTCGACCCCACCGCTTGTTTTCACTTCTCGGTCCCTCCCACTGGTGGACCCCAGTCACCAGTGAGTGGCCCTTTCGCCCCGGCCCCCGGCCTCTCCCTCCCTCTGCGTTAGTTCTTTTGCAAGTGAGAATCGCCGCCGCCTTTGGTTGGGGCCCAAGAAGCCGGCTCACCCACGGGAGGAGGGGCCCAAGGTTATTTTTAATTTTGGCTCGTTTTTGGGTCGACCTTTGGCGGGTGAACGGGGAGATTGGCGGTGCGATGGACAAACAGCACATTGCCCAGTACAGCACAAAACTAACATTTCGGGCGTAGTCCTGTATTTACACTCGACACTAGGATCCTACTACGGCCGTCTTTGACAGATACCGACGTTGATAGACACGGTAGACGCGGAATAGCGCCGAGGGTCTGCTCGTCGTCTAAGGAAATCCCAGACTACCTACCTTACCTTACGGCTGGTTACCACTACCTTTGACTACGAACGACTACCGAATGCTGGGGCAAGCTGCTCGGGTCCCGTGTCAATACACGCCGGAACATCAAGACATGATGATGGCCGTTGACATCAAGCTCATCAGACATGACAAGGAATCTTTTAGTTAGCACCTATCCATCCATGCCGGCGGCGACTTCGACCCATTATCTCCTGTATTCCTGTACTCCTCTCATTCTTCTTCACCCCCGTTTGGCGAGTACGTACTCATCTTCTTCCGCCCTGCCGGATTCTTTTTGTAGTCGTCCCATCCTCGATGAGAAATAACTCTTCTTTACTCCGTACATCTCTCATTCTCATTCTCGTTCATTCGTCTGCTCCCCCCAGTCTCTCCATGCATTAAAGTACATGCACACGCCTGCGTTACCTTGTGTACGGTCACACACACAGCCAATCCTTACCATCTCCCTCGCCTCGATTCTTTGGCTGACCATAGCCGGGATCCCTGCTCTTATTCCCCTTCCCATCTCAGAGTCCCATCTCACCCCAATCCATCCCATCCCTTCATACTGTACCTATCTTAACAGGGCATCGCGATTCACTCCCGCCCCCCTTACGGACGACAACGATACGGAGAGAAGGAAGAAGAAGAATAAGCTCCGCGACGCACCAGTCTTCACCGACACACTCCAAGCCTCTCTGTCCAACAGGCTTAACCCCAGCCGCGGACGACTGTGTCAGAATCCGCGAAAACCCTGTTTCTCGGATCCAGAACCTGTTGGATCTGTCATTACTGAGGCCACTCACTCGGTCTCTGTCACCTTTGGAAAAAGCATACGCAGTTGGAGAGAGAGCAAGGACAATAGTGTACAAATACGCTGCGTATACTCTCACACACCCGACACCCGCGACACCCGCATACATACACACACAAATACATAGATACATCTCGCACATCGCTGAGAGAGAGAGAGAGAGAGAGAGAAAGTTAATGACCCGGTACGTACGGATTTCACACTGCCTAGTCCCAGCAACGATCCCAGCACGGACGGCCCCTCCCCTCCACAGTCCACACATGTCCCTGTCCCATCCATTCTCTGTCTCCTCTCGTAGCCCTGCACCTTGCACCCGCACCTGAGCCTGGGGTCTGCGCACCTGGACATCTCATTCACATCCACACACACTCGCACTCACACACACACCCACCCTCGCCCAGATGGAGGAGCATCAGCTGCAGCAACCTGCACAGCACAGCTGTTTTTCTCTTTGCTTTCTTTTCCTCTGCCCTTGCTCACAGGTCATGCCCCGTTATTCCCACCCGGTGGTCATGCCTTGCCCCGATTAGGCCGGGACCTGGTGTGGCACTTCTCAACCGTGTGTGCTGCCCTCTTCCTGAGCCAAAAAGCCAGACTGGACGGAGCCTGTGTGTGAGTGGTGTGCATCCATGTGTGTGAGGGTTGTGCTGTGCCTGCTGCGGCCACTGTCTCTCCTCCTCTTGGGGGACGTGAGGGTGAGGTGCCATTATTTAACTGTATCTGTCCCCGGCCCATCTACCACCGCCTTTCCTGTCTCCCCTCCTCTCAGCCTACATCAAACATCAAATCCCATCAGCCTCGTTGAGCTGCTCGCGCTGTCCTCAACCACATTCGCTTTTTCCTAACTCTACTCTTAGGAAGTCCTCGTTGACTCCTGTCATTCGCTTTCGCGTTCTTGTGTTTTTCTTCTTCCGCCAAAATCTCAAAACCGCCCTCCTCCAAACCAACCACCTCCCGCCCTCTTGTTTCAATTATTTCTCTCCCAACAAGATCCTCGGAAGAGAAACAAAACCGAACACAAAAAGGAAAGGAAAAACCTAACTCTCCAACCCGCGCTCAGTCTACCCCAGCAGCCTCAGCCTCAGCCTCGAAGCATTCATCGCCAAATACCCTGGTCTCCAGCCTCAACAACTCCTGGGACTCGCTAGCTTACAACCCCGCCTCTCCCACAACTCGGCTTGCAACCAGCAAATGCTCCATCACTGAACATCGGTCTTCTGATCAACCACACTCGCTTTTTCGGAAACAGAGGACTTGAGATATACAACGGAAATTCGGGAAACTCAGAACCCGCCCACCCACGATCGCTATCAGTATCAGGAACTGGGAACAGGAGAAGGGAAAAGAAAGGGATCAAGGACAGAAAGAGACGTAAGAGGAACCCGCCAAATCGATTATCGAGCAAAGCGGCCTTCTTTACCATTTTTCCTGTCATTTGCCTCACACCGAGCGCCTGACCAACCTGCTGCCAGTCGCTTACACATCCGTGGACGCATTTGCTCCTTTGCATCGCTTGCCCCGGTCCATCGACACTCTCGCGCAGTATTAAAGTCTAAGTCTTGAGACTAAGCCTTACGTTACTTTCCCAGTAACGATCCTCCACTCGCTATCCATACACGGTCGTCTGTCCGTGTATACTCCCATGTGCGTGTTGCGCCTGCCCATCGTTTCCCGATTCACACTGACACGCATAGTTCTTTCGTTTAGTTCATCCCCGCGCTCACAATGGCCGGTCCTGGTGGTGGTCCTCCCCGCCGCAGTCACACCAAGTCCCGCAAGGGCTGTGAGACTTGCAAACGCCGCCACATCAGATGCGATGAGAACTTTCCCCAATGGTAAGTGCTTCCTGCTCTGTTCCTGAACCGGCAACTAATACAACCCAGCCGCAACTGCACCAAGCACAAGATTCGCTGCCCCTACAACGACATGCCAATGCCCGAGGACAGGTCAACAACGCCCGACAAGCCCGACCTCATGTGGACTCCTGAGGTCGAAGCAGAGATCTCGCAGTGGCAACAGACGGGAATGTTCCCGTTCCCCAACCTCGGCATCTACCCGGCACCGAACCCTCAGTACTTGTCTGTAGAGGATCTCAGATTGATCTATCACGTAGCATCCATCTGCAACGAGTTGGCTACTTTTGATGCCAACGGCTTCACCCTCTGGACACGCCAGATCCCCACGTAAGTAGGAATTCGCCTTTTCTACGTCAAACTGTACTGATTCAAAGTAGTATCATCAAGATCGGAGCGACGAACCCGTATGTCATGCATGCGCTTTTGGCTTTCTCGGCCACGCACATTGCCTTCCTAACCGACTGCCCCCTGGTGGGCAACATGGCGTACGAGCACCGCGGCGTTGCCCTCAAGGGTCTGCAGGAGGCTATTGGCATGTTCGACCGCGAGACGTCGGATGCCGTCTTGGCAGCCTCTCTTGTCCTGTCGTGGCAAGCCACAGATTGGTAGGCAACTGGCAGCAGCCATCCGTTATGCAGTACCGCACTAACGCACAAATTGCAGGCGAAGCTGGACCCAGCTCATGCAAGGAACCTCGTCGGTATGTCGTACACACACAGGAAGCCGCCAGGGTTTGAGAGACGATACTGACTCGCACTCTTTCAGGTCATCGAGGCCATGGACTCCTGGAAGCACGAGTCTCAATTTGGCGACTTCATCGCCGAGAGCTGCACATTCCCAACCGCTCCTGCCTCTCCCAGTCCGGATCACAAGCCGAGCCAGCCACGCAAGGAGGATATTGACGCCTTTAACCGCACCCTGAGCCAGCTCCAAAAGGTCGAGGCCCATCTCAAGCACAACAAGGAGGACACCAAGTCAATCCAGCAGTTGATCAGCTTCCTCAAGGGCGCCCGCAAGGTCAGCCCCACGCTGTCCGTCTCCCAGCAGTTTGAGCGCCTTCGTCCCCTGCGGACGTGGCTCTTCTGGCTGCCAGTCATGTACCTCAAGCAGACGGGCGGCTCGCCCAGCGCACTCACCATCATTGCCTACTACTACACGGTGGCCCTGATCATGGAGCGTCTGTTCACTGAGATTGGTGCCGCCTACTTTGGCAGTCTGTCCATTGGCCCCGTAGAGGAAATCGCCCGCCGCCTCCTGTCTATCAATATCTCGGCCAACCACGACGGCGACCTGCAGACCCCCCTGACGCTCATGGAGTTCCCCATCGACACGGTCAACGAGTTCCGCTCGAGGATGGGTTGGATCCAGCCCGCGAGAACGCCCTCGTTCCCGCAATTCAACCCTCCCAACTTCTACATGAACGAGCCAGTTCCCCTGCCTCCCGTCAGCGACTCGTATCTGCCGTATGGTCACAACCCTGCCTTCAGCTACAGTGCCGAGTCCCTGCAGATGCTCAATGCCGAGTCGGCGCCGCCCAGCAACGTCTCCCCCTTGGTGCTGTCGTCCCCGTACGTCAACTCGCAGTACCTCAACATCCCCAGCCCCAACTACGGCGGCTACAGCCCGGCATCTTCGACATTTGAGGGCTCCGTTGCCTATAGTGACAACGAGGAGTACGGCTCGTACGAGAGCTATGACATGAGCGGCGTGCCTACCCCCATCGTCGGCGGTTCCCACAACTTTGGCGTCGGGTTCGTCTCTCCCACCACCACCCAGCAGCCCCTGTGGATCTAGAAAGGCCCTGCCCCTCTTCCATGGCACCCTCGATAACCACTACGGCTCAGTACAATTGTCGCTTGGAAAGAATGCCGGATTGACCGCCGCTCAGGATGCCCACCACCCCTACCTACCCGCCACCGGAGGATTCCAACGTCCTAGCATCATCTTCGCTCAACACGTTGCCCCCATCCCCGTTCCTCCATCCCGAACTCTTCGGCATGCTACCCCTCCCCGAGTCACCAGTTCCTCGCGGCATGCCTCTCCCACGTCACCGGCACACACCATCCTCCTCCGTCTCCGTCACGGGCGACTCTCCCATGTCGGTCAGCGCACCCTTCCCACCTCGCAACCAACAGCGAGTGCCATCGACACCGACCTTCCAGTTCAACAGCGAGAAGGGCAAGGAGCGCGAGACATGAGTCTCTTCCCTCGCTCCCTGCTTCCAAATTCCCACCCCACCCTCAAGTTCTTTTCCATTACCATCGTTTGGGACCCCCTTTGATTTCGAAACATCTTTAATAATACCTGCTGCATCGACACAATACGCCAATGTACACTACACTCCTTTCGAGAGAGATCAACCGGTTGATCCGGGGCGCCAGACGCCGCCGCATCGCCACGACTATCCTTTTCAACCACCAACTATATACGACCTCAACGGCGACGCTGCCTCACATTAATCTACGACGACACTCCCTTAATTATCGAAGATGATACCCCCGATCCACCACAAAACCATAGACGTTCCCTACTCTCACCGGCATCGGATGATACCCAGTGCATCACACTCCTTTTTATGACTTGACGACGGAAGAAAAGGCATCTCGAATTATAGAGAGACGGGGGAAGAAAGAAAGATACACTCACACACACTCCTTATGGATCACATCGGCACCTACAATCCAAACTTGCATAGCGATCTGTTTTCGTGTTTGATGCAAAACACACACACAACCCACACTCGGCGTTACAAAGGAGTTTACAACACACCACAGCACAAGGGAAACACTTGGATGGATGGCTCGAAACCTCCAAACTGCATTGGGCGGAGTCACAAGTTTTGCTTTTTTTTTTTACTAACTTTTTACATTGGCCGTTGCCGCGGATAGAGAAGGCTTGCCTCTCGCCGCCAGAATTTTTTAAACTGTACCGAGGACAAAAAGAGTTTTGGATTTAATGAGTTTCGTTACTGCTTCCTCCATCGGAGAGAAAACAGGGGATGCTTCTTGAGCGTCGGGGATTTTTTTGTAATGAGTTTTTCCATGTGGGTTTAGCTTCAGCTTGAGCTTTGCAGACTTGGCTTCGGGGTCTTTGCTGCCGCCATCTCGTTCTGCTACTGAGCAGGGGATGATAGGGCCTTTTTTCGGTGCGTGGAAGCAATATACAAACCAGTTTGACGACGCGCATTACACTTTTGGGCTTCTCCTTGCACTGTGACACGCACACACTCTCTCTTTCCGCCCTTCTGCCTCTCTTCCCCTCCTTGGCCCGTAAACCATCCTCCGATTTCATTTCATTTATGACATGTCACTAACTGGATCGAGGTAAGATCCAGGTAACCGGGAAATTGAGTGGTTTTTTGTTTAGCTACGTTTTCTTTTCCCTTCTTCACGAAGCAAGGCGAGAAAAAAAAGCCCGGTAGGAGTATGTATCCGTAGGCATGTACGAAGTACTCCGTAGGGGGGGTGTGTAGTGAGTTCAAATGTGATGAGCGTGATGAGTGTGGAATGAGAGTACCGGATCGATCTTTGGTTTAAAATTATGACATGTTACGGCCGACGACGCGGGGGTGTGTGTGGTTTGGCGTGGTTGGGCTTGGGGGGAGGAGCAGGAGGAGCAGGAGGAGTAGCGTAGGAGGCGAATGGTGCGAAGTGACCGGGGGAGGGGGGGGGATAGGATAGGGATATTTGCTTTTCGTGTTGACGAGTCTAGCGTTTTTCCCATCGTTGGCGTAAAAAGTTTACATGCGGTGTAGTGTGGCAGCGTGTGTTCACCTTGCGTGCTTGCTGCAGCTGGTGTGCTTTCTTTTCTTGATTTTTTTTTTCTATTTTCATACAGGCTAGGGCCGTCGGAACCGAACATCTTCTGTAAATTTGTCTCGCTCTGCATATCTCCCTATCCCGTACTTTTTCCTTTGTCTGATTTAGGAAAGTCGAATGGGGGACGTTGTCTTCCGCTTGGCCATGCATGCTTCTTTTCGGGGAGGGGTGAGGGTTTTTGGTTCGATCCGGATGGGGTGCTCCCTTTCCCCTGCAGTCCGGCGGGCTGAATGGGGTGACCACGACCAGAATGTGAGCTTCTTTGGGTGGTAGAGGGGGATCGTCGTCAGGGTTATAGATTCCCATGCTCGTGTGGTGTTTCTCTTTCTGTACTCCGTCGTGGTAGTGTCTCTGTATCCGTAGCTCTTTTTCCTTGCCAACGCTTGAGTATCTCGTTGCTTTTCCCTTCTTGCTTTGTCTTGATGGGGGGGGGGGACGGGTTTGAGGATGGTTGGGGGACAAGGTTGGGCGTCCGGGGTCTGATGTACTATCCTACTTTGTAATTATGTGCGGATGTGAATGGGCTAGCTGGCTACCTGTCCAGATGACTGGGTTGTTAGTCCGCCGGATGGCTGGTTGGCTGGTGGGAGAAGGCGGCGGCGGAGAACTGCATATGATCGGCCAAGAAGTGACCTGACGAAGTAAGGCGAAGCGAGGCGAGGCGAGGCCCAGCTGAAGGGGGACTAGATGGGATAGATAGCGGCGGGTATTGAAACAGGGTCAGTCGGGATTTGACGGCACGACGGCACGGGGATGGGTTGCTGGTGGATGTGGATCATGGAGTGAAGGGGAGGTGAGTGAATGAGTGGTATACGAGGCTGGAGATTGCGGTAGGACGATAACGGTGGTGATGTCGATGCAAGACATGGAACGGCCGTATAAAGAGGGATGTGGTGATTTGACTAGGCGTGAGAACCATGCCTGCCAGGTAGCAGATAGCATCACCGATGGGAGGCTGGTCAGTCTCGGCTATGGAAAGGCTTGGGTCTTGGAAGCATCTCGTCTTTCTGAGATTGCTGGTCTACTATACCGTTGAGCTCGTGGGTAGCTACTTTCCAAATCCATAGAGTCCGGTCCCTGTTCTAGGGAGAGGTTCATGGGCAGATTGGTTGGCTGGCCTAGGCAGATTTTCTCCAGGCGCCAGTGCTCGCGAGATTTGGGTGGCAGGTTCGAGTTGTAGAGGACGTACCTCACTAGGCGACGACCTCATCGTTGCCCTTGTCTTCGGTCTCTTTGAGCTGTCTACGTCGGACTAGAGACTTGGTCCTGGCTGGACATACTTTCGGGACGGAGGAGATTCCAACTTCTACACGCCACGGATGTTCGAGACAGCTCAGAGAATTTGATAAGCGAATCAATCGAGATGGATTCTATCGTTACTTAGCTCTTGGCGATCCCTCCTCGAGATAGGGGCTCTGCTAACTGGCGGATGAGAAGAAAGGAATCGCTTCAGGGGGTTGCTGACTAGCCAGAACTTTCACGTATCCATGCTCATTCCATCAACTGGGTTGGCGAGCGGGATAGACTACACACGGATTGCGTTACTGCCAAGGAGTCAAAATGATGTTCGACTTCGCGTAGTATTGCAACGAAAACCGTGACTTCCATGGCTCAGAGCATGGCGCTTCTCTCATCCGGCGCTATTCAGCATAGAGTAACGAGCGAACGGGTCACTCCAGATCACCTCGATGGTGAACAGCAAGTCGTTTGACAGTCAAGTACTAGCTGAGGTGACCACTTCATTCGAGTCGAGTTCATATGTATGGAAGTTGATAGCATCACTGATTCACCACTTGTGAGTGTGCCTGCAAACAGACTCTCGCCCTTCCATCCCTCAAAGCTCTTGAGCTCACCACTGTAACCGGCCACGAGGCAAGATGCTCTGTCTCTCTTGGTGTATCATGGGTTTTCTGGAGGCTGTGGATAGAAGAAGTGACAGCTGTGTCGAGAACGCTACGCTGCGACCTTGCAGTTGATTACAGTCTCTCTTGAATGAACACCCTACCCGGCATGGTAAGTTGATATGATGGTACCTGTCTCTACCTACATATTGAATACAAACAAAATCCTCGAGCTTATCGCTCAACTTATGCGTAAGCCCCGACGCGGGATGACTTGTTGATGCTGGGAAGTCTAGGACGATTGATACCGACGATCGAGCTTCCTCATCCTTCATAATCTGCGGCATTCGAAGACATGTCGAACCTTCGATATGACAAAAGATACAGCGCCTGGCGCTGTATCTTGACGGTTGCCGATGTATTCGCTTCCGATACACTCCAGTCCGGTAGTGTTTATAGACACCGAAGTCTGATTTACCTTAGTAAATGCTCTTGAGAGTATGGTGAAGACATTTCGCAGCCCTAAATGACCTATGCTGAGATGGCCGAAGAGAAGATGGACGAGATCTCACGCCTGAAGGCAAATCTCGGCGGAGGACGAACCAGGTGACACGCTCTACCACCATATCTCACATCTCTATGTGACGGGAGCTGTATATTCAAGGCACTAGGCCTACATTGGGCACGAAACGAACTTCAGTTTGACGACTTTGGGGGGGGGGGGGGGGGGTGACCCCATGGATGAAACTCGAATTGCTTGTGGCGACTGGGGTCGGAGAAGATTGGAGCAAAACGAGACAAGAATTACAAGAATTGCAAGAGTTGGGGTGAATACGGCTTTGAGCCTTCGCAGACACGACTTTGGAATTGTCTACAACCGTTGGTTGATGCCGTAGTCCATCCCGGGGCGCGCCCTCTTACGACTCAGGAAAGGCTGCTTTTTTTTATCATTGGCGACTTTCTAAGTTCAATATAAATTACCCGTAGCTTGAGGAATCGAAGAAATTTTCTTCATGCCTGGCCTTTAAGACTTCCATCTCGTCCTCCAGACAGCTCCGGGATCGCTCACTGCCTGATTCGGCATCGAAGAGGGAGTCACGAAGGCCGAAGTACTCTTGTCTAGCCGGCGGGGACGTAGACAACACCCCCTTCATTGAGCTTCATATCGATGAGTATAATCGAAACTCACCCTTCCAGTGCCAATCGCCCGTCTGGGGGGTATTCAAGACCGTATACCCAAGAAGCCAACATCGAACAAAGAAGGCGCAAACCGTCTTTGGCTCTATGATCGATAAATCGCGTCAAAGTCTTGAAACATCCCGGAAAGAGTTACACCAACGCGGCATACTACTAGGAGAGACTAATGGCGCATCATGTCATCTGTGTCCGGCGCCGAACAAAATCCCAACGATCGCAGCCTGTCTTTATATACGCCGTTCTGCCCTCCCGCCTGCAACACTAAAGCTATGCGCAGAGCCTGCGATAGGGGTCCTATCCTCGAACCAGCAGTACTCAAGCTCTCGTCAATGCCGAGTACCC